CATTAACCCTCTCTACTCGATAATATTCGTAAGAAGATATTTACATTTCTTGCGAATTTTATCGAGTAATCAGAGTTAATGCGATACAAATGGATTCGACTCAAATACCGCGGGCACAAGTTATCGACATCTTCTACGAGGTAAGTAAACAGCTGTTCTACCGACTGTTCCTGCACGTCGTTGAGTCTTTAAAATGACTGTACGCTCCTGTTGAGCCGTGATCCGCTGACACTCCGTGCGCGCGGATTGCCATGATTTCGGTTAATTTTTAAACGCTTATAACTAACAAACGAAGCATTTTTCGCAATTTCGTTATTCTTGATTTTCGTCTTATTTTGCCTCAAAGAATCACCCCTTAAATCTTTTCCCACTAGTTGTCGAACACCCTGTATATCATCCACCCTTTTTCTCAAGAGTAGCAGATGGCAAATTCATAGTCCGTAATGGTAGATGGCAGATCCATAGTAATCCCGTGATCCACCGTGATCCACCGTGATCTCCTCTTTGCTCGGACGAGCTTGGACGTCACTAACTTATTTATACCATAATATTATACTTATACTGTGCTTGTACTCTTCCTACTTTACGTGAATCCTTACTTTAACAATAATTGATTTGACATTCAATGATCTAAGTATAATCAGTAATCAAGAGCTAAGGTTAGTTGTATCATGTAGGACTGTAGGACATTGTAGAACGTAGGAAACTAAACAGAATATATATAATATTTTTAAACATTTACACAGTATTTCTTAAGTGATTTTAAGGTAAATTTTAAAAGTAGGATTCGTATTTTCTTAGATACATATATTCTTCATAAGAAACATAACCTTACCTATATTTCATGTATTATTGTAACAATAAATAACTGTTAATAGACATTCTACAGTAAAGTTGATCTAAATGATGTCGCAACTTATAAATTAAGTGTTTATTAACTGTCCTAAATAATGAGAATTCTTAGGTATCTTATTTTGTATTATGTTATTGAAATTGTTTTATTAATCTGTCCACATCTGTAAAGATAAATTAAATTCTTATTAATAAGTTCTCAATCTGTAATTGTTTAAATTTTATAAAATCAGCTTATGCGAGTAAAGTAAATTTAAAAATAATAACTTTTGAATGTGTGGAATAATATAATGGTTCAATGGTCGATAGACAAGATATAGTGAACTAGTAAAGTTAGCGTCTTAAGGACTGGTATGTGAGGAGCATATCAAAAACTAAGTAGGTATTAACACAATAAAAACAAGGCTAAGTTTTAGACTATGACCTAATTTTAGATATGTTAACAATAAATTTGTCAGCTTTAATATATACTTGGAAGCAACAGTAAGGTCTTAAACCCAGGCAGGTCATAAGTTAATATCATAACAATCTATAACTGATACCTTGCCCAATGCTATATAGAGCATACCATTCTAAGTTAATTTTCCATTTGAACAAGTTCTGAAAATTTTGTAAATGTTGAAGACTATAAGAAAAGAGCTTCTGTGTACAACATATTTCATAATAACATTAATGGAAACTAAATTTGTGTTCCATAGCCTTGAATGAATTCTAAAAGCCTCCCTTTCAAATTTCTGTAGTAATGGCCATCTAGACACATGGAAACACTTCAGTGGTTAACTAAAAATTTTTATGAATTCATTATATCTTGTCTACCAGCTGTAAGATAAACTAATTTAAGTTATTTAACAATCAGTTTTCAGAAATGGCTACAGACACTTCAAATACAAATGCAAAGCTTTTACAACATCATGAAAATAAAAACATAGAAGTAAACAATATATTAAATAATGATTTGAATAGTAACACTGAACAATCTGAAGAAACACATATTAATATAGAATGCATAAAGGAAGAAAATGAAAAAACACCTACCAAAAAACACAATGGTAACATAAATTTACAAATTAATAGCAGTAATAATAAAGAAAAGACAAACTTAGAAAGTTATAATAATAATCATAAAGTAACATATAACACCAGAAGCTCCTTAATAAGGATTCGTAAAATGGAAGATTTATGTAAAACTCCTGAGAAAGATATCGATTTAAATGAATCAATTGACATAAAAGACATTAAAATAGAAGGTACATACACTTCTGAAAAATTTAGTCCTAGCATGTTAATCACCAATTCAGTGGAATCTAATTCTATGACAATTAAAGTTTTACAAGAATCACCAACGCCAAGTAAAAAAAGAAAACATCTTGAGGAAAATAACACACCTAATAAACAAAAAAAAAGAAAAAGTAGTGACAGTGAAGATTATTATCAATTACCTGTTACATTGAAGACAGATTTATATGATAATACTCCAAACGATATGGAACATATTGTTATGTTACATGACCTGGATTCTGTGATGGATTTTGAAGATACTAAGATACCAAGTTTCTTATCATCCGGAAGTAATGATATGGAGAATAAAGAAAATATGGAAATATCAAAAGATCCTCAAGTTGATCCCCTTCTTATTGATAATAATGAGCTGAAGGATGCTGTTACTGAGAATATAAACATAAAACAAGTAAATAAAACAGTTAAATCCATACATAATTCAAGAGCTGGAAGAAAAAAAGTAACTGATAGTAATAACTGTATCAAATATACGAGACAAACAAAATTGAGTTGCGAGAAGCGTAATAACACCCATAACAGAATAAAAACTGAATTAAAAGTATTAAATAGTCCATCAGGCACAGAAGATGAAGAAATTTCTGAAAGTGACAGACAGGTAAATATTGCACATGACATATTTTCTAATGTCTGTATCTTATTTTAGAATTTAAAACTTTCATTGATATGTATCCTTTTAGAGACTGTATGATTTAAAAGTACAAATAATGCACAATATACCACCGCAACACAAAATAGAACGAACAGCAGGTTCAAGGGCATTGACGAAAGCAGAGAAACAATTATTTTTAGAATATACACTATTAAGAAAAGGTGTTTTTTTACCTCGTGAAGATAAACTTATCATAGACAATTGGAAAGAATTCTGTAAAGTATGTGTGATTAACACCATCATATAATTTAGTTTACTAATAAGTGATTTTTATAAGTAGGTTCATAATTGGAATCCTAAAATTGTAAAACCATTTCTTTACATGAAATATGGCCCAAGATATTCTATTAAAAGTACAGAAGACAGACAAAAATTCGTTCAGTTTTTAGCGAATGGGTTACCGTGGAGATCACTCTACAGTGTACATCAAAGATTTAAGAATATATTTGAAAAGTGTGAAAAGCCTTTTAAGAGGTATAATGTAATATCTACTCATGGTACACATTCTATAATAGTTTCTTGCGTTAATTACATGTATCTTCATAGGTACACTTCAGCAGAAGATGAAAAAATTTTATTATACATGAAGAAGAAACAAAGAAACAAAAGTAAAACAAACAAAAAGTTTACTAAACTAGCACAAATATTAGGTCGTAAGACGCGTTCAGTTCGGGTACGTTATAAACTGCTTAAACAAATGCAAAAAAGCCATACAGGAAGACGTAAGTTTTTGTTTAGTATATAATCATAATTTCACATTTTTTTCAAGTTCAAGTAAAAATAAATTTATATTTCATTGTAGCAATATCAGAAGTTAAGTGGACATTACCATTAATTAGTATATTTTTGAAAGCTTTTTTGGATGTTACATTATCTGAAGAAGTGAGAGAATTGAAAAATGCTAAAATTCCAAAACTAATTTGGATGAAATTAGAAGAAAAACTAAACATAGACTATGAGGTATTACAAAAATTTTGGATACATCAGCTGCATATGCAATTGTTTTGCCCAGAACCCATTTACTTAAGTGATATAAAAATAAAATTAATTGAATAGTAAGTTACAGTAATAATGTATAAATATCTTGTACATGTTTGATTAATGTAACATTTAAATATGAAAGCATGTTGCATTTATATTTCTGTTATAGTGTTTATGGAAAAGGAATTTCAAATACTCGAGAAATAACGTGGCCAAATGTGGCGAAATATTTTGAGGGGGTTACTACCATCTTTCTGTGTAAAATATTTTGTCATCTTGTACATGCAGCTACTGTGAAAACACGCAAAACGAACTTTCTTGGTAGGTATAATGTACACACAAAAAGATTGTGAATATTATTCTGTGAAATAATAACGGTATCCTTTAATTTTCAGAAATTATGGAATATCTATATCATTGCAAAATACATGATATACACAATAGTTCCACTGACAGATTTCTCCCTAGACTTTCTTATGATAAGGGACAGGTTACGATTATAGATGAAAATATAGAATAATAATTTAATTCAAATGATAAAAATCTAATGTATATTATCACATAATTTATTAAATCTCGAAAATTTTCCAACGCCATATCACTTAATACAATTTCTTTGGACTTATAATACTAGACTACCGAACCCGTAAAAATGATGGACTTCGGTTTTTTTATTTAACAGTTACTGAAATCCTAGACGTACTTTCATCGGAATATATGTTAACCTCTAATTTCTTAAATATTTTACTTTATAGTGTTGCGTATTCGCAACTGGTAATATTTAGAATCAAGCGCCATCTGTTCAGAATTTTAGG